TAGGCTCAAGGATTTTCCTCTGGTGCTTCGCTTAACTCTTTAACGGACATTCAAAACATGGTACAACCTTCTTTGGATTTGTGGAGGGCCATTCAATTGCGTCACTTTCTCACACATCTTGTCCCTAGAGGGTCTTATCCATCGTCACAGTTTTAATGATTATGTGTGGAACGGAAGCAAGCTGAGCATACGTTATCATTGTCATATCGGCTTCTAATACAACCTGGAGACTCTTATATGCCGCCCTTTCTGTCTTCAGGTGACCTTTACACCATAACAGAGGAAGGGCACCTTATTCTTCTCTCATCAAGCATCCATGGCATGCAGGAAGCTAACTGGTATAGGGTCTCCTCGGTACTCCACAAGCTTTACCTCCAAGTTTTCGGCTAGAAGTTGGAGATGTGGGGAGGCGAAGGGCACACTTCTTCCCATTTTCTGGTCATGTATTAAGTCAAGAGACTTCTGGTCTGGGGTTAGGACACTGACTATGAGACTCACAGGGATAGATTTGGGGGAAGATGCAGCGGCCTATCTTCTCCACCACTCAGGTCTTTCCAGAAGCAGATATAAGAAATTTCTTATAATTAATTTACGGAATGCGGCCAAAATGTGCATTCCAGTACTGTGGAAGAGCACCACCCCTCCCTTGCCTAAGATCTGCGTCATTGAAAGAATGGAGTGCCTGACAGCCACTCTGAAGCATAGTGAGAATACATTTCGTAAGATCTGCTTCTGCTGGTTAGACTTTTCCTTGGAGTTCTGTGATGTCGTTGCATCTGATGACTCTCTGCCTTGAGCCGTATAACTTTGCCCTGGGCCCTGAACTTTAGTCTTCCCTGACCTCTACACAGGGTTTTTTTTTTCATTATTGCCCCTCCTCTTCTTCTTTTCTCTTTCTCTTTTGTCTTTTCTTGTGCCTGCTTTCTTTCTGTTCACTTCTACTTATACGGAAAATGGAAATGAGGAGCGGATGTAACAGTTGGTCCCTTTTTGATGTTTACCGTTTTCTTCTTTGGATATATGACTGGATTCAATCTGAGTATACCAATTATTATGCTGACATGTACTGGATCGATTATCCTGTTTTTAGTTTTTTCTGTTATTCATCTGTTTCCGCAAGTGGTTATATAAATAAAGAATTTACAATACAAAAAAAAGTCCTTCCTACTACAAAGCACATCAAAGTTATTTGCAAATTAAACACATTTTCTTTTATTAAATTAAATTTTTTCTATGCGACAGTGAAAAAATTACAAATAAAAAAAACAAGAAGAAAATTAACTGTAGAAAAAAAGTCAAAGCAACCGGACTTGCTGTATTTTTCTTGAAGACATTTCACTGGACATCCGACCAGCTTTCCTAATTCGGAATGACTTGTACAAAAATGATCTGGGAATAAATATGGTGAATGTCACTCCAATCCACATAATCTGTTAGTCACAACCAGGTGTTGATTGCATTTGCATAATTGGAGTTAGGAGGTGTTAATAACCTGCCCAAAGAGAGGTGTTAAAACAGCATTGTATGTGGCAGACAATAGATGTCTCACCCCCCCCCACCTCCATTCGAGCTTGGCTTCTCCATTTTTACATAAATGGCCTCTTTCACCCCTCTTTTAAACAAGTCCTCCTCCCTGTCTAGGATGCGTACTTGACTGTCTTGAAAGGAGCGACCTTTTTCCTTTAGATGTAGGTACACTGCTGAATCCTGACCAGAGGGTTTTGCTCTTCTATGCTGTGCCATACGCTGGTGTAGCTGCTATTTTGTTTCACCGACATAAAATTCTAAGCACTCCTCACTGCACTGGACAGCATACACAATCTTGTTCATCTTGTGTTTTGGTGTTGGAGCTTGAAGAGGGCAGCTTGGAGAAGGCACCCTTCAAACCTGAGACATCTGGAGCAGTTTGCTCAAGAAGAGCAGGCCACATTACCTGTTGGCAGGTACAGAAATCTCATTGTGAGCTACAGAAAGCACTTGTTTGCAGTGATTGCCTCTACAGGTTGTTCAAAAAAATATTAGGTAAAGGGTCTCATCATTTTTGTCTATATAATTTTATTTTGATTATTAAAATATTCTGCTGTATCAAACATCAAAATCAAAGTCTGATATTTAATAAAAATGGAATAAACAACAATAGATGCCAATTACTTTTGTCAATTTCAAATAATTTTTTGTGTTCTTTTTTTTCATTGAGGTGTGCCAACAAATTTGTTTTGTAGCTATCTGTAGCTATAGAGGGTCCACCCATACAGGCCCCTCTCTGATTGAAGTCTGAATGATGAAGTATCTCTACTCAGGCTTTAAATGTTAGTACTGGCATTTGGAAAAAGGGCCCCTACGTCCCCCAACCCAGTGGGTTTAGTCATTGTGAGCATGGTAAAACATAGTGAAGATTTTATTACCATTACTATAAATATTTTTTTCTTTAGTCTGGGAATTACAGTAGATTTTATCTCTTCAGCCTCTTCTTGCAAAAGTGCTAATATGATTCTGTGGATTGTCCTGATAAGAACAACAAAAGTTACTGGTCTCCCCAATATACAAGTCTTTGCATTCCTCACTACACTGCACTGCTTATACCAAGTTACTTTACTTGTATTTGGTTGTCTGTGTAGCTCTCCTGTTGTGTTCCCATTATCTAATGCAGCCTTTCTCAACATTTGTACCTCAGAGGAACCCTTCAAATAATTTTCAGGTCTAAGGAAACCCTTGCTACAAATTCAATGGGGGTAATTGGGAAAAAATGCACCTTATATTGGTCTGTGGGAAGAATGTCCTCTGTGGTGGTCTGATTGTTACCCTTACAGACAGCTAAAAATATAATGGGTGTAATGGTGCTGGCTCCTCCAAGTGGCATTGGTCCCTGAACTATGCAAGCACCATCAGATGGGAGGTCAATCAGCCACGGCTCCAGGAACTACTAGCAGCCTCTGGCAGCAACTACTTGAGCCTCTATAGAGCCAATGGCTCTATAGATCCTTAGGTGAGAATAGCTGATCTATTGATTACCATCCACTAGTACCCAGAAAAATGCTTGTTCTAATGGGTTATTTTATGCCCACATGCTACTGGAAACTGGCAGAATAGTAATTTGTTATGACAACATTGTCACCATAACCCTCTCTGACTGGGTAACAGCAAAACAAGAAGAGCCATTTTTGTAAAAACAACCTGATTGCAGTCTAGAACGTCTATGAGAGTGCACATCCTGGGCGGAAGGAAGGCAATAGTTAGAGAAAACATTTGTCCCACCTGCCCTTCCTTGTTGCCATGGCAGCGTGGTGGGTTAGAGGATCTTTGGGGGGGATCTGTGAAAAAAGGTGAGATGCTACAAGGTTGGGGTTGTATGTCATTCCCCCTCATTGGTGCCAGTTGTTGACAGGGCTCGGTCGCATGGGAAGTCAGGAGTAGTCAATTCTGAAGCTGTCCGGTGGGGGTTCGACTAGGCACATGGGTGGATTTCAGTAAATTCTTCTTTTAAGTAATGGACACCAAAGACGTCTTAACAACAGTCAATTGTTAATAACAACAGTCGTTATTTATTTGGTATGTTTCACTAAAGGGAATGAATTAACAAACCCATTAATCATGTCATTTCCATGCAAATATGATTGTCTCTTTTCAGTCTTCACAAGGCTTGAGGTTAAATTTCACAAATTACCAGTGCTGTTCTTGTGTTAACCACAGTGAGCCTTTCATAATTGTATTAAATATATCTACAGGGGTGCTGAGGATTCAGTGTTTTCCTTGCTATCATCACACATCGGGAATGATTGTGTGATGATAGCAAGCATATTCTCCCAGTGTATGAGGACAGTAGTGCAAAGGCCAATCAATGTATCGACAGAACAGACGCAACAATGAGGTTTGCTAATAATTTTGAAATCTATTTATATTTAGAGAAAAAAACAATCCTCTTTTGTAACATTTTATAAAGGTTTTTTTTTAGGAAGAGCACTTGATTGTCTTGAAGATTGTTTTTGAATATAAATTTTATCTTTTTTAATCATTTTGTAACTGCCCTGAGTTTGGCTTTATTTTAATGCAAGGCCATTTCCTGTGCCTGTTCCCTTTCCCTGAAACTGTCACAGGTGGCCGAGTGGTGCAGGAGGAGAGCGCTGTCAGCGGCTGTCATCTCTCCTCCCCGCACTGCTCAGCATCCTGTCACAGATCAGGAAAGTGGTGGTGTGGGCAGGGACAGCCATTGCTGTCACAGGAGGCGGAGCTCTCCTGCCGCCCCGCCCAGCCTCCTGTGACAGCGTGTCAGGATGGAGTGAGTACAAGCAGTCAGTGATCAGTGATCGCTGAGTGTTTCTAAATAATTAAGGACAGAGTATGTTTACTATGTCCCCAATTATGAATGAATGGGAAGTGATGTACAGCACTTCCTGTTCATTCATGATAGTGTGTTTACTATAACCACAATCTCCACAAGTTATGAATGAACAGGAACACTCAATATAGAGGCTTCCTGTTCATTTATAACAGGAGCTGCAGAAAAGGAGATTGAGGACTCGATGTCCTCAATCTCTTTTTCTATTTTAAAAGGGAAATATCAGGGCTCTGTTTAATAACAATGAATACATAAATAAAATATAAAACAATTTAAAAGATTATAAAAAAATAAATAAAAATAATATATTTTAAAAAATGTGAAAAAGTTACAATAAAAAACATTTTCGGTTTTGGTCTGACATTTTTTTTGGTTTCGAAATTTTCATTTTGGTGCACCTCTACTAATAGTACATGCGGATGCTCAGTTTTCCTACTTCAGCATCCATACACACCTCCCCATGAGTAAAGAAAGCTGTCTGCATACTGCAGCCCAAGGCAATTGGCTTTTGGCTTCATAAGCTTGTCTTGGCACATACATGTAATAATGCCCGCTATTCACACAGATGTTAGCATGCAAGAGTGCATAGTGAATGGACTAAAGAAACGCAGTGAAATTAATGGTAAAAGTCACCATCTAATGTCTTCCAAATTCTCTCTTCCAGAATGGCACCAGTTTTCATGTTTTTGACCAAGGCAGGTTTGCCAAGGAAGTTCTACCCAAGTACTTCAAGCACAATAACATGGCAAGTTTTGTGAGGCAGCTGAATATGTGTAAGTACAGAACAGAATGGAAATATTTTTAGATTGCATGCAGTGTTTGTTTTCTGAGAGGAAAAGAAAATTCATCAGAGGAAGGGCTATAGATTATGAATGCTAATATATAAAAGTGCAATTGTTTAGGTGCCCCACATATTCCAGTCATTGTTAAAGATTAGGCCCTTAGACTTACTGTCCCAAGTATGACAATGCTAGAGCTCTGTGTGTGAAATAAACTATGACAACAATCATTTATGTAGAGCCTCCTGTGATCAATTGGTATGAATCATGAAACTAAACTGGTGGGATGGGTGATCATATCTATAGGTGTACACAGTTGACATGCAACTCTTTTTTTTAGCAACTATGGAAAAGAGGCTTGCCTATGGGAGCATGCACAAGTTTCTTTAGTACAGCTTGAACTTGGGTTTTCTTTATTTTATGTTACATCACAAAGGAAATTACATCATGTCTCCTGTGATCTGATCATCAGGCATTGATTTCTGGATAACTGGGATCTTGGGAATTGTTTTGATTCACATATTAAGTTTATTCACCAAAAACGTACACAATTACATGTTAGTTTTGCCTGTTTTATTGTAGATGGTTTCAGAAAGGTGGTGAACATCGAGCAAGGTGGACTAGTAAAGCCAGAGAGAGATGACACTGAATTTCAGCATCTGTACTTTTTGCAAGGCCATGAACATCTATTAGAGCACATCAAAAGAAAGGTAAGACAAACACTGCTAATTTACATTATGATCAGGGGGGTCATTTCTAATTGTGGGGCCATAACATTTGTATAGTGCCCCTGTTGCTCAGTACTTCATTACCAGACACCCAGAGTCACTACTGTAAAGCCATAGCAACCCACGTGGCTCCTATGGTTGATTAGGAAAACTGAAGTGGCGTTTCCTGTTCAGAAAAGCTGAAGTCAGTTCTCCCTGACTTCAGTGCAGTAAGAAGAATTTGCTCATATAAAGTATATTAGCAGTGTAGATTTATTGCCCTCTTAACTTCGGCTACAGATTGAAAATATCCTTGTGTGTAATGCAGTCACAAATCCCAGAGATTCACCTCTGTTAAAACCTTATAGGAGGGCTGAGGTTTGTAGTTATTTAAAAAAGTAGTAGTAACTAGTATTTTCTATAGTGTACTATAATTATATTCACACGCATCACTGTTCCCTAGTAGTGTACTGACTATGGTGACAGCTCTCCTGCTACCTGTCCTAGATACATACTTCATGATAAGATCGATGACACATATTGTCACAGATCTTTCTCTTTTCAAGTTGACATGACTTTCTTAAAGAGAAATACCCTGCTTTTTTCCCATACCCTCTTACATGCTCTGCTCACTAGAAAACATTCTCACCTGTCTAGCGAATCCAGTGTTGTCCTTCTGCTGTGATCCACCGACCCACTGTTTGGGTCCATCTTCTCTGAAATCATTTGGAATATTCTCTCTCTTACAGGTTCTGTAACCAGCCCCAAATTATGTGCGACCAGGTCCACTCACTTGCTATTGTGAGTCCCTGTTCCTGCAGCCCCCTGGGATATGCACGTCACAGGAGCAGAGACCCGTCATTCTCACCTAGGGGAGAACGATGCTGGGGGAGTTGGGGTGGAGCCAGACAGATAGTAAAAAAGTAAACACACATTGGCAATTTGTATTGGGGCGCTGGGGGGATTGCAGGGTGCACAAAAGGACCTGGGGAGTAAATGTCTGGTTTAAGGTAGGTTTAAATATGTATTAATTTTAATGGCACCTAATGCACATGCCCAGTGCACCACAAGGGACTAGCATTTTAGTGCACCACAGCGCTAGACAAAAAATTTGTAGGTGCATATTTAGGTCAGTTTTGGTGTGTTGCCAGCACATTGAATGAATGTGCTGCCTTACCATAACACCTGCTAACATGCAATATAATGACATGCATACAGTGACACACCACAAATATGTGTACCCAACCCCTAAATGTGTATTTCTACTTTTGCAGTCAAATATGACAAAAAAACCTTGATACATTTGTTATGTATTCCTATCCGCATACTGAAAAATAACTTAAATATTTCTTACCTTTTAGATATTTTGTTACAGCAGGCAAGGTGGCTGATTCCAGGTTTTGCTCAGTACCTTCACAGTCCAAGCCACCTCCAACCCTTGATCCCTCACAGCCCCTCCTAACTTTTCAAAGAAAGAGAAATAAGAAAAAACTTTAACCCTTAAAACCCTAACCCAAGTAAAAGCAATTTAAACTGCAAGAAGCATTTTTTTTAGCTTATGCAATCTGAATGGGAACATGTAACAAATTTAAAATAGGTGATATCCCAATTTGGCTGTGAAAGTGAAAATACATTTTAAGGGCATGTCATGAGAGAAGTATATAGACTATCTTTGTTGACCCCCTTCTGAAAGAGTTGGCTGGCTTAATTTCTTTAGAAGTCTCCGACCTAGTAAAGTCATACACCCTATAAAGTCAGAATTTCTTATCTGTATATTTTTACCGGGTCAATGGCTCAAACAGTATTAAAGCCAGAGGATTACTTTGACAAAAAGAAAGTTTAGTTTTAAAAGATTGAATAACCAAACAAAATCACCAAAATTATGAAGAAATCATAGAAAATTAGTTTGGACTTTTAGCTTCAGACATTCAATTGTTGTTAGAAATTGTGGCATACGTTTTGTTTGGTAAAGACTTCTTCTTTAACTCATTCATTACTAGAGGTCATAGATGCCTACACATCCAAGCCAAATACAGCAGTGGCAGCATAAGTTAGTTACCTTGATAATAACTACTGACTAATTTGCCTACACACTCCACCAAAACCACCAAACTTCCTACTTTTAAAGAATAACTTGTTTATTGAAATAATGGCACCCACATTGGCAGGTAGATAGTCATGCATACTCATAGGAGTCCTCAGCACAGCGTGCCTGCAGCTTTCACTGGAATCTTGATCTAGTTTGTATATTTCTTTCAGATGTGTGCAATAATCCAGTGTGACACGTTACCTCTGTGCAAGAACTTCTTGTAATAAAGACCGGTCACTGCTGCTCTCTCTCCTTTTGCAGGGTATTAAGTAGGCATTGGCAGGGTCTTGTTTCCACCCCCTCCTGTAGTTTTCTGCAGGCTGTATTGGATGGGTTCCTCCCATAGCTCTGATCTCTGCTCGGGCTATGTCACTGCTACATCTACTAGTTAAAAAACTGGGTTTTTAAAGGCATTTGGTGCACATAAAGTTGAACTATAGCCTAAATTGCTACTGATGAATGTATTTAAATATTATATTATATTAAGTAAGTATATATTTATATAATATATTTAAATTAGGGTTTTTGGGTCTGGAGTTCAGCTTAAAATAGCATTAAGATGTCCTCAGCTTTAAATGTCATGTAATAAAACTTTGTCACTTTGCGCAGGTGTCTGTTGTGAAGAGTGAAGAGACCAAACTGCGGCATGAGGATGTGAGCCGACTCCTGTATGAAGTCCAGAGCCTGAGGAATCAACAAGAAAACACAGAGTGCCAGATGCAAGATATGAAACAGTGAGTTTAGTGTGCCTATCTAAGATAAAAGGCATGAGTAGGGTTGCACTTAGTATATAAGCAAACTAGGCACATCCCAGAGGCAATTACTTTATGGATAAAGTTTAAAATAGTTTATTACAGTTTTCGATTGGAACTATTTACCTGTATCACCCAATAAAATTAACGGGGGAAGGGTAGAAGATGGTGCTCTCTACTGAGCTCTTTTTAGCCAAAATATGTAATTCTACTGCGCACACATTACAGCCGTGTTCTACTGTGTCCACACCTGGCGCTGGATTAAAAAGTAGCTGATACATACACCCAGCCTTGGGTTATGCGCTACTTAGTAGAGGGACATTGCTGGTGACGGTACGCTAAGTAGGAGGACTTAGGGCTGTTAAAAGGAAAGTAGCGGGCTGTTTTGGCCATGTAGTTTGAGGCCCCTGCCTCTTGTCATCTTTGTATTCAGAGATTGCTCAAGTATTACCCTAAATTACACCAGCAGCAGAAGTGTAACCAATGCAATGGGCTTGATTTACTAAACAGGGTTGTTTTTCTAAAGGAGTAGAAAACTGTAAATGTTCACGTGGATTAGTAAGCTGTGTTCAATAATGCACTACCAAAATTCATTTTTTCCAATTCCCTTGAACATCATTGGGTATGCAAAGTGAACATGAAATATTCCACAGGAAGAGGAATATGTCACTCTCTGGTGCCCCTTAGATTCTGCTACCCACTCCAGCTTGGCAGACACACAGATATGTATATAGTGTAATATGACAGGGGCTTTTCTAGTGCAATTACACTTTAATCACACACAAAATGGAAGCCACCATTTTTTATCAGTGGCAACATTTTGTGAAATATATCTTTTGCATAGCAAAATATTGTTTAAAAAAAAATAACCTTTTATAGAAGCGAAACAGAAAAAAAACAGTGATGCTATTCAGGGGAGATTAGAAGATTACATCAATATTACCATTTATTATTATTTCACTAGAAGCAAGTGACATCACTGAAGGTTAAAACAGAACTGAAGCCCAAACTTTTCTTTTTGGTTTTGGATGGAGTAGAGTAGGGTTATAACTATGTCAGCTATTTTTTTACCATCTGTGTCCTATAGCCACAACAGGAAGTGAGAGGAAATCCCTCCAAACAGAGGGAAATCCCTGGTAATCAGCAGGGTCACCAGAACCAGTGTCCCCATTTGATGATTTCCCCATCTATTCCTGTTTGGGTGACAGCTCAAACTTGGGATTTCCTTTTACCTTCAGACAGCAATAAAAACATGACAGGTGTTCTAATACCTCTTAACGCCATCCAAAAATAAAAAAAATGTATTGCCTTCAAAGTGTAATACTTTTTTCATATTCATAGAGACTTATAGGCCGAACACTGGTTAAATATACAAAATGGTGACCTAATAAAATATACACGTTTATATATTTTGTGGATACAGTGCCAATTATAGCATTGCTGTATATAGGGCAAAAAGCCATAGCAACCAAGAAGATTTCACCTTATAGCATAATATGTCGGAATGGTTTCTCTGTGTTACTTCTGTTCACACTTTGCTCCTTATCAAAGAAGTATTCTGGTCAGCATTTTTTATGTATAAACTGGCAACAAAACACTAGTTTAATTTCAGGAAAAAAATGTTTTTATTTGGCATCCATTCATACACATGTGAAGGTATTTAAAAAATCAGGAGTTTTGTGATCATACTCAGTAGGTCATGACTGGGAGTGATGGAAACCGGCACAGACACAGCATGGCTCTATTGGACTTCCAATGATCTTAAAGCAATGTAGCACAAAGTCCTAATATCTGCTTTAAAAGAACAGCTAAGGTGCATATTACCTGCCCTACCAGCTGCAGTAACTGCAATCACATTTTTCAATTAATTTTTATTTTTTGAATCCCTTAATCAGTGCAATGATGTCATTACACTTTCCTCCATGGCTGCCAACCAAAAGAACTGCCGCTGTGAATTTTGACTTCTTGTAGCTTGCTCCTGCACCAAAATGGTCCCTGATAGCTGCTCTGCATCATCAGGCTTTTTAAATTAGGGCCAATAACAGACCCCCCACAACACATCCCATGCCATAAATTACAAAATACTGTGCCCCTAAACATGCCTTCTTCTCTTTATCTTCTTCACATGAGGAAGGGGGAACTTTCAACCTGGTGGCAGGATTTATAGACCTAAACCTGGAAATGTACATGGAAGCCCTGGGTTTGATGTGGAACTTATTAAAAAACACCTTTGGCCTTTATGACATGTAATTTGTCACATAGACATATTCATTTGATCAGCAGATCTGTAGTCAGTTAAAGTAAATACAGTTTGTTTGATGTACATCTGTGCCAATTATAAAAAAAAGCTTCGGCAAATTTCTACATACGGCAGCTTCCTCCAGATGACAAGAACATGATGTAACTCATTTCATGGGAGTATACTAAGGAATGGGTAAAGTCACACTAAACTCAGGAGGTAAATCTTTAAAATGCATTCAAGTACCTTATTAACAAAAATGGATCTTATTTGTGTATCACTCGGTGGTAGATCCTCAAATCATCTCTGAATTTGTGCTGACACTGTCCTTCCTTTGGAGGGTGGCTACTTTTGTTCCCCATGGTCCCTGTGTGTGCTGTAAAATAGCCACTGCTCCAATCTCGCTCCCGTGATGGACTACCGTAATATACAGGGGTACAGGTACTCTTAGAATGAGATCCTAATAGGTTGGACTTGATGGACTAATGTCTTTACTCAACCTCAAATACTATGTAACTATGTAACTATGTAACTATGCAACTACAATCTCACATTTACTTTACTAATTTGTATTGAGATTTAGAGTTTAGTGTCACTTTAAATTAAAAACACCAATAGCAGATAGGGTGCAGATGGGATCTTGAATAGAAAATGGTTTAAATTGTCATTGCCTATCACTGTTGAGAACCACTCTCCACCTTGTTTCTGCAGCACCCTGTCCCATCCCACATCCATCAGCTCTAGCCATATCTTTTCTAGTGCCAACAGAACTGCAACAGAAACAATATTGTAGTCCCTGGGGCTGCTATAATTAGTAACAGTAAAAACAGTATAACAGTATAATTAATAATGGTAGATCAACAAATCATATACAGAATAAGTGCATCTCTTCATTAACATAGTGGCTGAAATGTTGCAAGCCTACAGAGCTTAGAATGCATCTATAGCCCAAAGTTTTATTTTCATTTTTTTCGATACAATAGTGAATAGATAAAACTCAAGTAATTATGGGGTTTGCCTGTGTAAAAAAACTATATGGGAACTATAGAAACTAGGGATGCATTGACATTTCGGCCACCAAAACATATCAGCTGAAAATGGCCCTTTTGCCAAAAGTGCCATCTTTAATCCAAAGTTGCAGTGCATGCCTGGTTTCTCTCCTCCCCGCTGGGCGCTGCTCTATGTCCCGTCTGACACAGCACAACGTCCAGCAGGGAGGAGAGAAACTGTCGTTGTGAGCGGCCGGCATGTCCTAAGAGGCTGACCTCTCCTCCCGCACCGCCCTGCACGTCTGTGACAGATCAGGAGAGCGGTGTGGGGGTGGAGACAGCTGCCAGCTGTCAAAGGAGGCCGGGCCAGTGATGCGAGGGAGGAGTCAGCTGTCAAAATAGACCGAGTTCTTCTCCCACACTGCTGGCTCAGCCTCCTGTGACAGCGAGTAAGGATGGAGAGTGGGTGCAAGTAGTCAGCGATCAGTGATCGCTGACTGCTTGTAAATAGTTAAGGACATAGTATATTGACTGTGCCCCCAATTATGAATAAATGGGAAGTGCTCTACATCACGTCCTGTTCATTCATGAGTGTGGACATGGTAAACATACTATCTCCACAAGTTATGAATGAACAGGAACACTTAGTATAGGGGGATTCCTGTTCATTTATAAAAGGGGCTGCAGAATAAGAGATTGTGTCCTCAATCTCTTTTTCTATTTTAAAAGGTAAATAACAGGGGTCCAATATTTCCCCAGAGCCCTCAACAGTAAAGTTAAAAAATAAAAATATTTATTTAAAAAAAAGGGGAGGGGGGAATCCCTGTGGGAAGTGGTGACTGACAGTCACTGCTTTCTGCAGGTAGAAGACCGTGAGCTGAGCGATCAGTTGGTTGTGATCACTTAGACACTGTAGCTGTCACATGCTGGCTCTATAGCTGGAGAACTAACACCGGCTCACACTATTGGGAAGAGTACATTTTACTCTCCCAATACTTCGCTTTTAAATATGCCATTTAAAGTATTTTATTATATTTGTTTGATAAGTGCAAAAATACCTGTTGCTCCTGCCAAAAACCTAGTGAGCTCATATCTTTCTGTAGTGAGATGACATTGCAGTGCCCTTGTTGCACTGAAATCCCAAGTAGTGTTATTTGCCTTGCCTGAAGTCTCCTTTGAAAACGATAGAACACTCCAAATCAAGATCACGCAATCTCGGGTGGCAATCGGGTGTACAGAAAAAATGCCTAAAAAAAAAATACAAAGCTAATGCAGCCATAACATCTAAGGACTAGTAAGCTGCAAAGCATGATTTTTTTATTCTTGGATCTAGGAAAAATATATTTTTATTATCATTCTAAAACATAGCACGTGGAAAGGATCAACATGCAATACTCCTCATAAAAACACATAAAACAAAAACAACTTACCCCTTATAAATAACAATATAAAGTGATAATATGAATACTTGCCCATAAAACCAGCAAGTATGCAAAATACTACAATACAATCAGAAAATACAGAAGGTGCCTTTGGATGAATTTCTATTCCTGCAGAATGCAAAAATTATAATCATATAATCCTTCCCTTTTTATATAATTTCATATATGTTATAGTTTTTTTTTTCTTAAACCCGCCCTAGATAGACCTGAGCTAACATAAAACATGTATATTCTCTGCTCTGTATATGCTTAGCTTCTGGAAAAACCTCCACTAATACACCCCCACAAGACTGCAGCTCACCTTATGAAGAGACCTTAAATACAAGGTTCTGTAGCGCCAATCCCCAAAAAATGCTCCACAGCATTATAGCATCAATAATATACCGGTAAAATATTTATTGTTAAAATGCTACTCACAATAAAAACAACAATGAAAATACATGAAAAACTATTTCAGTCGTTAAAACGAAGATCCACCAAGTCCTCCTTGCAGCATATACGTTCAGTTTTCTACGACATCCACCCGATGTATGTCTCTATGTGACTTTGTTTTTCCAAAAGCTTTCACGAAAGTTGAGAGTGTGCCTTTCACATTTTGGGACTACAGATTGCATATGGAGACTGGCTGTCATATTTTTCATAGTTTGTACTTTATATGTGATTTTTTTTTTTTACAGATTGTACATAGATTGTCACAATATTTATTTGAATTTGTTTGCACCTCATTTATAATTGACACTGGTTGCTACATTTTCCATTTCACTTTGCTTGCACTTTCTATCCAATGTGTAAACAAACACACGTATAAAGTCTTTTTGGATATATTCTGATGTTTAGAGCTACATGATATATATATATATATATATAAGTTATAAGCGTGG